TCAGTGCCATAATTAACAGAACCCATGGCCTTAGCGAGGGCCCGCTTACATCAAGGGCGTCTGCTGGGATTCAGTTTCCATGGATGCAAACAGGTCAGGTGACCAGTCTATGTACAAGATCAAACTAACTGTGATTCACTGAACCTCATTACATTAGACTTGAAGGCTATCTAGCTCGCACCATAAGCACATCATTCAGAACCCCCCCCCCCCCCCCCCAATACAAAGACCCTAATGATTAGCCCACAATCACTAATCACCGTAATAATATGTCCACAAGCCACAGTTAGCACACCCCTCATCAAAGTCACCATTCCCATTAACTTCCACAATCAAAGCCACAGCCAGCAAGGAAATTCATCTCGCCGCAGATCCCTCAGGCTACCCAGTCAACGTCAGACACGACCAGTCTTGTCGTGTTTAAGGCTTGGTGACGTCCTTTCATGGCCTTACAATTTTTCTAGTCAAACCCAACAACCCACCTGAATGAGATAACCGTACATCCTATTAATCACTCGAGCATGTAGACCACTGTAGACTTATTCGCCGCCCACTAATGAGGCCCAATCTGTGGGCATGATCGACTGACTCGGGCTCAGTGGGAGCCCCTCCCATACCCTCATCTTCAGTTCGATTGCCACAGGAGACCGATCCTCGCAGCCGGTGGCAGTGTCACACGAGACCCTCACACCCTTCACACCCAGACCGATAGGCCCCCACACCATCACCCCATCACCCCATCCTAGCCATCCCTTTCCACAATAAACCCTATCAAAAATTCACCAGCGCCTACCACGTCCCCAGCACCGCGTCCCACGACCTAACACCACAGCTCCGACGGATCGCGCCCACTCCGGTCGGCCGCCCCACCTACCTGGCACCGCACACAGATCCTATGGACAGCTCGAGCGACTGTGAGGAACGCGGCGGCGGCGGCCCGCTTATATACGTTGCGTCGGTGCCAGCCGTCTGCGCGCCTTACTTGGTGGCAGACCTCGTCGGTACCGATGCGCTCGCGGCCGCCGCGCCGGCGGCGACGGGCCGCCGCCTGGCCACGCCAAATATGGCAGGTGACCGGCGGCCCCCGCCGTGACCTGGCGTGACCCACCGCTGCCGGAGGTGACCTGCTGCTACCCGCGGCTCCCGGGCGCGACGCGGCCCGGTTCGACGCTCCCCTGGTGGGCTGGAGTGATCCGAAGCTCACGGAGCTCATGCGGGCTGACTCACGGCTCTCATGGGTGTGAAGTGACCTGAGCTGAGGCTATGAGATGTGACCTGGTCTGACCTATGTCTGTTAGACATGCCGGATCTTGCCCGCGGCTTCTAGCCAGTCTGATCGGAACCATGGCTCTAAGACGCTGCCCGGTCTGGTCCAGGTATATCTCACTTAATTAGTATTGGCCGTCACTTCGAACCGCGCGCCGATCTCAGCGGTGGCCCTCATACCTGGTCTGACCCATGTGTCACAGACGTGACGTGGTCTCGCTGAGCTTCCGATCGTGAGCTCATATAACACGCAGCTCTCAATGGTGGCCTGATCTTGCTCGCAACTCCCAGCCGTGAGCTGGTTCGACCCAACGTTACTGATGACCTGATGCCAAGTTAGGTGACTTTGGTCACCCACAACTGTTAGATGACCTCGTTCGAATGCCAGTTCCTAGCTGTGATTTGATCTGACCGTGGTCTCCCAGACATGGCCTGGCATGGTCCTTGTCTTTAAGACGCCTCAAGCCATGGCGGGTCCTCATCTTTAGGACGTCTTGAGCCATGGTCTGACTCACGTCTTTTGGACGTGACTTGGCTTCACTGACGGCTAACTGTCGTGACCAAAATAATTCCATTACGTTACCGGAAGACGAGCCGGGTGTGTGAACCTATGACTGTTTACACAGCAGCACCTAGCAACGGCCAACACGTCTTGATGGTTGTGCATGTCGGGTAGGTGATTTGGTCTCGATGGGATAACAATCGCGTGATCCATAATGGCATTTCAGCTGAATAATTCCGCAGTTTTGGTTTCAAATGGTCACCTCCGGCTGTGACAGCGCGCATCACTTTTGCTCATGAGAATGAGAGCAATAATGGCTCTATTACTGGTAATGGAGCCATTGCTGATGAGTCACGGATGTGCCATTTGGGTCTGATCTCTGTCCCCACTGGCTGAACGAGCCGGTCCTATTTGTTGCCTAGGGTCAAGCTTGCCCTGCAAGTTACCGTAAATCGTTAGCATAATCCGATAATAAGGCTTATATGTTATGCAATCGGTATTTTATTTAAAGTATCATTAGTTTTGAAATTGATAAGGTGAAGTGGCTAATCATGACAAATAATAACTTGACGATAGTGATGATTTAGTAGGTACTAACGTTATTTTGTTAATAATGAGCTGTGCACAAAATAAATACACCAAATAAAGCATAATAAAGCCAAATACACCATCGTATCACAAATCGTGCATCAAATAAAGCATTGCTCTAGCCGTGCCGGTATTAGACACAATTTTTCGAAGCGGAGTACCTTATGCCATTGCACATGCTATCTTGCCTGAATGATTTCACCACAGTTTGAATAAAAGCCAGCTTTGTGTTTTGCTCCCATGCATAGCTAACAAAATGTTAGTGGCGCGACGATAAAGCTGAGTCCTGGGAGAGAAGTTCAATGACTTGGCTGTCGCTGAGCCCTAATGCATCGCCTTTAGTCATCGATGAGTCGACAAAAACCAAATATTACTCATACTAAACATAGGTACATACTGCCTGACAGCTTACGCATGGTGCCCCATTGGTACGCTGGTAAGGCCCTGTGTTGTTCCCTAATCGTACCTCCTATAAATTTTCTTTCACATGTGATTGCCATTATAGGTACTGTTTTCCGTTGACTGTTGCCTTGCAAGTTGGTCCGTTGATGCCGACCTAAGAGATCCGAAGTAAATTCTTCTTAAACATTTTCTTCATATGTGCGTAGGGGAACTCAAGATGTTCCATATCCACGACCAGACTGACGTCGAGTGAAAAAAATGATACGAAATAATGTATTTGAATCCGTCATGCTCACAACATTACCATATTTTGTGTCGCGGACTGGCATTAAGCTCAGAACATCAAGAGAAACAAGAAGTGTTATGACGTGTTTGTGGGGTTTTATGGAATCATTGCTTCAACATGCGATTCTGGACGGTTGCGCGTGTCCTGTCGTAGGTAAAAGCACTGATCGCACACGCTCACGCACTCTGCAAAACATTGCAGACCTTTTAACACACTGACCATACCGCAATCTGCTGGGTGCGGCAAAATTAACCTCATCTCCAAATATTCTATTATTCTTATAACTATTGAATGGTGCATTTGTTCACTGCGAAGCTTGGCATATCTGTCAGGCGACACACATTTCACCGACGTAAAAGTGCAAAGTACGCGTATGTTTTTATTGCGAATATGTGACGCCGCTGAGAACGTCTGCGTGACGCTTTGTGATTTCCAGCGATAGCCCGCTCATTTGCACCTGCTGTCTGCAGAGTTGGAAACAAACGGGAACAGCTTCAATTTCGAAACCAGCGCGATCAGCCCCTTAAAAGATACTGCTACAGTTGATCCAGCAAGGTCAAATGAAGCGACCTTCTTGGCGACCATTCAACGTGTTAGCACCTCCTTATTTTTCGGTCCATTGGGTTACAAGCACATGACGTGGTACCCTACATTGACGAGACCATTATGATCAGCATCCTAGGCTTTATGGCCATGCTCATGATATAACCTAATGGTCATAACCTGACATGATCTTACATGCACTGGTCTGACATGATCTCGGCTTAGCGATAAGCTCAATACCCTCATGACTGTTTTCTGATGCAGGTAGCTGAGAACCTGTGTTTGGTGTCTAATGAAAGGTCTCTGAGCCAAACCACATGCGCCTGTGGGGACATTTGCACTCGCTGGTATGTCACCGACCAGATGCTTTCCATGCACCGCGGCATTTTTTAACAATGGCGCGACCGGGATTCGAACCCGGGACGCTCATTTGGAAGCCGTAAGCGCCACCCACTCAGCTATTACACCCTCACGCACCATGCCGTCGCCAGCAAACTTACAACTGATTCCGCCTCAGCCGAATCAACTCTCTCCAAGGCGCTTTGAAACAGGCCATCGAAGTGTTCGGACTTTATGGACATTTCCTCTCGCATTTCATCAAAATTTCAGCCATATGACGTGCGCAGGTACGGCTCCTGGAGCCAGCAAAGGAGGGACATCCAGTGAAATTTGGCAATCCCGCCGGTGTTGTGATCTCCCTGGAATTAAACGCGCTGGTTTGCATTTGCAGGAGGCACTCATGCCTTCCGCGAGAAAGATAATCAGGTATGGTTGTTGGTTGGTTGTATATACGTTGTATGGTTGCATGCGTGTTGTATGGCCGATGTATGCTGTATGGTTATATGTATGTTGTATGATTATGTACGAGTTGTACGGCTGTGTGCATAACCAACCACAGTGTTTTTGTTGCAGCATGGTTATGGTTATTGGAATAAATAAACACAAATGATCGCAGAGACAATTCCAGGAGTCAAGAAAGGGGTGTTT